TGGAAAACCTGAAAGCACTGGTGCAGGATCGTGGATGCGCACTGCTGAGGAGTCCCATACTAGAACGAAACGGCCGTCCAGTGCTTCCAGGTTTTCCATGGTGGTCTAGCTTCAATCGACTCATGATTTCAACCAGTGAAATTTCTAAAAACTCTCCACAAAACCCATTCTGATTTATCTATCTGTTACAAACTGGATATTTAGTGGGTTGATAAGAGTAGTTCTACTTTATACTTTAGAAATTTGCCTCTTTTATAGATTCTATCAAAGGTGATTTCAAAGATTTTTTTGCATTCAGTCGCAACACCATGTAAGTAAGTAGTGTTTGGGAATAATGATGATAATTTGATATGAGCTTCCCGATCGCTAAACACAGTATATATTGTATAAAGTTAAGATAAATGTACTTAACTAACCGAAATCTCTCCTGGTTTTCTTTCTTAGTTGCATGACATTACATAAGAAATCTTATATTTGTTCATTTATTTAGTGGCTGTATGACCTTTCTGTCTATTTCCATTACAAAATTATCGTCTCACTTCGTGTGGAGTGTTTTTCTGGTTCTCAGAATACTTTATCCCTTATAGCTAAAATAGCATATACAGGTATGATGTTATAGAAGGGTTATGCTATATTTCGCAAAATGATTACAAATCAGAAATGTAGGTCATTTTTTCTGACTAATTAGAATGCAAGTATTGTGCACGTAACAAGACGTAATAAACCCGATGGAGAATTGTGGATACACATTCCCGAATAGTTCCAATCTAAAATGAAACAACTATTTAGTGTAATATTCTTTCTTATGCTTCTCTAGTTGATATTCGGATTCATGAAGACATTTATTCTTAAAACATACAAATCTGCACTACTTAAGTGAACATTCATTTATCCTTTTTATTACTACCAATGTAGGTATTCTGGAGAAAACAACAAACATGATTCAGATTTCATTGAACCATGTGTAAATATAGAGAAGCAACGATCAATAGGTAAGTAGATAGGTAGATACGAAGTAAATGAATGCCATGATCTGGGGTTAGAATGAAATAATTTCAATTAACCAACTACTGAATGAATAGAAACACAGAAACTGCAATGGAACTTTATGATAGCCATATATATTATGACATATTGATGACTAAAGTTACAAAACACCAACTACTGACTTTCGTTCTGTAAATTCACAAATGATATGTTTATCACAAGTCTGTGTGTAGTGAGCTCAACTTGGAGAGGAACTGAGTGTTTACGTGTCGAAAGTCATATATTGCGAAAACATAACTGTCAAATACAGGACGATCACGGTATACTTTAAATGGTACTATCTCAAGACGAAAATTAGTTAAAACAAAAATACGAAAACAAACTTCGAAACAAACATTGCAGACAGCGACGAAAACAGTACTTAAGAGCCTTCCAAAGCAGGCAATGAACCTCATCATGAAATTTAAAACGTGGACAAATATCAATTTACAGTGAAAACCCATGATGCTTTTAGTATATACGTAGTATATTTGAACATTAATTATGATTCCACAAAGGATAATAGATAGTCAAATTATTTTTTTTATTTATTTTAACACATAGATATTGGTAGAAGGAGGCACCAAATACATATGCGCCACACAAATCTCACTCGATATGTGTGAGGGCTGTGATACTACCCGGGTGCCCAAACCGAAGCAGGTGGTTTTCTTAGGGGGCCACACCCCGAGCCTTCGACCTGAAGGTCTAATCCACAAGGCAGTGGATCATCGTGAGGAGATGCAGTCCCATGGTAGCCTGTGACCAACGATTGATTCATACGCCATTTGTTCCCTCGGGATACTGGAGTCCATGTGCACCATTGGTTTGGTTTGGGATCCGGTTAAAGCGCCGGACATTCGCTTTTCGTCCTCTCATTTTCGTAAACAACGCCCCCGCCACGAGAAGGCAGTGAGTAGGACTTCCCTGGCAGAGGCTGTATACGCGTGGCTATGTGAGAGCATTTCGAGTGGGAGAGCGGACTCTCCCCACTCTCGGCCGTACCAGGGCATTTGGGGGGATGAAAAGCCAATATCTGACGCTTAAACCGGGCCGATGGATATAAAGGATTCACCTAGAGGAGTTGGAGAAACATGATTCCAAACAATTGGTGCACATGAGCTCGAGGATCCTAAGGGAACAAATGGTGTATAAACCCATTGTTGGTGAACGGATACCATGGGACTGCATCTCAAAACACTACTCCACTATCTCGTGGATTGGACCTCTAGGTCAAAGGTTCGAGGAGTGGTATTCTAAGAGAACCACCTGCTTCAGTCTGGGCGCCCGAGTAGTATCCCAGCCCTCACACAAATCAAATGAATTGTGGCAGATATATATTCGGTGCCTTCTTATACCAATGTTCATGTTTAAATAAATAATAATCAATAAATACTCAATCACAGACAACATGGAGCCTAGGACAAATTTGCCTTAGACCAAGTTGTCATTTCGCATTACCATGGCTAGATGAAATAAATTAGGTGAATAGTAAAGGAGTAGAAAGGATAAAGAGAAGACTAAACATTGATAACATGGTTGGAGATGAAAATATGGAAAGCTATGTATGAAGTATAATACCAGAACTGAAGATCTAGACGATGATAAAGGGTAAATGCACCTGTTCTATTGCGACCCGTTCTAAGTCATGTCACTCCGTGTCTACAAACAGTGATCATGGTTATACTGCAGACCTCAACCAGGTAGTTCATGTCTATCAAACATAGTTCACTCCAACAGTGAATGTCTTCATGGAATGATGGCACCTCTTGATTTGGTCGTCCTTAGCTTTTTCCAACCTAGTTCTACGTGAGCCAACACCGTTAGTTGATGTGGGAGATAGTTGAAAATACATAACATGTGTCCCAACCATTTCAGTAAATAAAGGTTCACGACCTTACCAACTGATATATCATCTTTGCTTAGTTTTATTTATTTGAACACATAAATATTGGTACAAAGGGGCACCGCGTACATATGTGCCACACAAGTCACTTGATTTGTGGGTGGGCTGTGATACGGCCCGTGTCTTTTGAGAAAGTAGCCAACAGTAGACTGATATTATTTTTTGATATGGTTATTTACATGGTATTCTAATTATCTTGTTAATAACAAACTTTGTATTAAGAAATCTAAATTTAGTAAATTCATGATATTCACCACGAATACTTTAAAGGAACGAATAGTGAAAAGTAATATTTGAAGGGCAATAATAAGTATAAAGGGTATTCAGAAAACAAGTACCCTCAAAATACTGTCAATCAAAACTGACATACAAGATTTAAGAAAACTTAGAAGAGAGAAGACCTGCTTAATAAGCAATTACTAGGTATTTGGAGAAATGTGAGTGGTTTTTATCTTTATCGTTTACGCTTTCTTGGTACAATTTCCGTGATGACGTTAGGAAGTTCCTCGGTCATCATTTCCTTCTGTATTTCTCACCATATAGTCCAGTCAGTTTGATGTAATGTACAAGCCTGATTGGTACAGTACTAGTATAGAATTAAGTGATAGGATGAGTTGAATAATGAAACTTTATACTGACAACTGTAAGACAGTTAGACATAATTATACACTCAAAAATGTTTTCCATATCCTATTTTGGCTTTGCAGCAGTCAGACGGATCGAGACAGTTGAAATGCAAACTAGCTATATCCCATCATTCACTTTATGTGGACATGTATGAACTTAGTACGCTTGATTTTGAAGTTATTAAAGAAGATTAGATAAGGAAAGGTTATTTTAAAGAGTGTGCCAAAAGAATATGATGAGTAAACAAAGAATGAATAATAGAAGCTAGTGATCATTGACTGATACGAGAAAGAAAAATACTACCTCTTTCTCATACATTCCAATTTTATTATTTTTGCTTGACTTTCATTTTATCATCAAGTGTTAGAGTAACATTAATTGAATAAAATTATCATTATCCAGTTTTGGCAAACAACGCATATCACATTAATTGCTCGCCCGTTTGAGTAATAGATTGATAAAATGATCTCAACGATCATTATCGGATTAATCAGTTTTCAAAGTATAATTTACTTTTTTTATGAATGTGATTTCGGTCAGAATCAATGAGCTACTAAAGTCAGTACAGTGTTCAAATCAGTAACGTCTCAAACTATGGCTTACATATTCTCTGACTAGTTTTTTTTGTACGCATTTGTCGTGAATAGGAAAATCGGAAGAATTTATGGTGGAAAAAATATCGAAAAGACAAAACTGCTGATAGAACGACAAATATCAAATAAAAACCCTTGAATAAGTAACTGAGAATCTCGAATGAAAAATTCAACCACATTGAGTATACACTCTTTGAACCCTATAGAAATCACTTTGAGTACAAACAAATGGTATATTGACCCTAGTGGACCACTGATTAGGATTATGGGCATTTATATCTAAGAACCCAGAGGATTGATGATAAAGATGGTTAACAAACTGACTGAAGTCAAACATAGAAGCTGAAGATTTTGTTGAGGATTTGTCATGTGTTCCAGTTGATTCATTATTATTCATACTTGATTGGGAATTTAAAACAGCATAGAACGACAAATATATCAGATAAAAACTAACTCCTGAATAAGTAACTGAGAATCTCGAATGAAAAATTCAACCACATTGAGTATACACTCTTTGAACCCTATAGAAATCACTTTTGTGTTTAAGTGTCGTTACAAACTTATAAATAAGGGTTCGTCCTAAAACAAAAACTGATTCTAGCTTGCTATGATTCATCAATAAATCGTATTCATAAACAGAAGAAAATATATTTGGTATGTATATCAGAGATGATGATTAAATACATCTTGGACGATAATCGATTTGTATTATTTTTAAACAAATTAAAAGAGCTATTCTTATCCCAGACAACTTGTTTTGGTTATGACATTTTTGAATCGATCTAGGTAAAATTATTAACAACTTTATTCAAAGACAAAAAGAAGTATAAATACAAAAGGATACTTACTGTGCTAAAGGTCATCTTCTGATGTTGTTGATAGTCATTGCTATTAGGTAGAGAACACATTTTAGATCCATATTTTCCAAAAGTTAATGTGTTGGACATTGGTGCTAATGAACTTGAATAAATAGAAGCATCTAAAACCTCATTTTGTGTACAAGCAAATGGTATATTGACCCTAGTAGACCACTGATTAGGATTATGGGCATTTATATCTAAGAACCCAGAGGATTGATGATAAAGATGGTTAACAAACTGACTGAAGTCAAACATAGAAGCTGAAGATTTTGTTGAGGATTTGTCATGTGTTCCAGTTGATTCATTATTATTCATACTTGATTGGGAATTTAAAACAGCATTAAATATGTTTGTCATGAACTGACTAGATAAGTGTGGAGGTAAATCATCTTGTTTTAATGCGTTACTAATATCGGGTAGCACAGCAGGAATGGACGAAAATAAAGTGTCTGAATAGATAGCATTGTGATCGGATACCTTTTTAGCCTGTATCCAATTATCAGTTGTCATCAATTTTTCTGTAGAGCCTGTAAAAGGAAGACTACAAGGAAAAGCACACGACTGTAGCAACGATCCATTTGTGCTACGTACGTTGTTGCTATATCCAAAGCTTTCAGGACATGAGTATGATAATTCTGGATAATTGGAGTTTAATATATCTGTTTTAGATGTCAAAAACTGACCATCCGAAGACTGGTCGTGACCTTGTACAGCCTCTTCAAAACCCGGCGGAGGATAAAGATTAGAGAAAGTATTTGGACTCACGTTAAATGACTTGTTTGGATCAACATGGTTGCTTCTGTTATGTGATACTATATTAGAGTACCAGGAACGCAGTTTTTCAGCTTGTGCAGAATTGAGACTAAAATTAGCTTGAGGAAGCCTAGTGTCTAAACTTGAGGATTGTGGTTCACTTGGACAGTGAGAAATGCCAACTGAAGATCCATTGGTTAAGCAAACACGATGACTGAACAGAGGTTCAGATACATTAAGACGTGAAACTTCAGCAGCTAAAAGTTCAGCTAAACCTTGCTGAGATTCTCGAAAGGGGTCAAAATCAATATCTGCGGGTTCATCTCCTAACAGAGGTTGGGTATTTGAAGAATTCTCTGGATTTGGACGACACCATGTACGGTGACAGCCATTACTGCTGGTACAAATAGGCTCAGTACGTGTAGATACTTGATTAGATGGGATAGAGCGAGGCAACAAAATCCGATTCTGGGTGGAATTATGGTGCCGGACATGGTTACCTTTAGTTCCTTCTACGTATGATTTATCTGTATTTGTATTTTCAGACGAATTCTTGAAATGAAAAGTACCAAATGAGTTTTTCCCGAGCTTTCTAGTTGGATAATCTGATGATGAAATTGATGACGAATGATTCCAACTACTCGGTTTGTTAGAATTATTATAATTTAGTTTAGATTTATCAGCCAATGAGGTATCGGAAACTGAGACAGCATTTGAATTATCTTTATTAGTATGCCTTAATTTACGAATCTCCTTAAGTGATGCACTTGTTTGATCAGACTGTGTAGTGCATCGATCTGAAACTTGCACGCCCGAGTTTTCTACAGACAGCATGGATGTGTCTTCAAATCTGAAGCGATTACGTCCATTTGAGTAGCTGCTTGATTCACTGGTATGAGGTACTGAAGCATCATTGGGACTTGAGACAGAAGAATCTAGTGAACCTAAGATAGTTGTTTCTTCCTTTTGTGAATCAAGTGAATATGATTTAGACTGACAGAAATCTTGCAACAACTTGTTCATGTATTCAGTATGCTTTCCAGCTTGCATTTCTTCTTTAGTAAAACTAGCAGCTGAATCACCGAGTTCATGCAAGTACATGCATTCCTTGAAACAAAAATAATTGTTTGTGAAAAATCAAAATGGCAAGTAAGTTAAAAGACATAACCTTGACGAAGTAGTCATGATTTAAGTACTGTGATAAATGACAAAGCCAGATATATATTCAATACTTATGAAGCGTAATCATAATCAAAAACGTTGTTGGGATGTGAGTAGAATAACTTTAACGTAAACTACCTCGATGGAACCTGTCTTACCTAGTAAGCATAACAATAGGTTTGTGAACCAATAAACCGTATAAAATAAACTACTTTAAACCTCTATGTATTGAAAACCCTCAGAAAAAAGAAATGAAAAGGTTAGACATCTCAACAAACTAAAAATGGTAGGTCGTCTCGAGATATTTATTTTTTGATACTTCTAAACATTTAAAAAAAATATGAAGGACTAATTCGTCACAATAGATGATATAAATATATATATTCGGATGTTAGATAAGTTGATTTTTATCATATCCTCAGTGTATAGTCTTCCTCACTAACAAAGCTACCATAATTATTTCGACTTTTTATTTGCCATCATGTTAATTTCATCTTATTGCACTGATTTATTTTGAGAACTTGGGTTAATGCACATTCACCCCAAGGTCTATAAATGATTAAAAGACTGAGCAGTTAATTTGTTATTAATCACATAAGCAGCAATCGAATGAACACGCAGGTGAAACGACTTTAACTTATTTCACACAAGGGAAGTGAAAAGGGATACCAGCTTTTGGTATCAGTCAGTCAGCTACAACGTAGGACCATGCACATATGTGCATCGGTATGATAACAACTGTTATTTGTCCTTTTAGGAAGATCGAGTAGTAAAAACAGGCTGAAAATTAGCCGTAATTCATGAAAACCCTCAATGGAGATTTCAAGAACTTAAGTAAATAGTAAATCACATTTCTGAAGTTATATATATAACAGTAATATTTAACGTTTTATAAAATAATTAGTTGGTCTAACCGCACAAAACAATCGGATCAGGATCTAACGGAAACACTTAAATCATTCACGGAACGCACATAACAAAATGAATGCCTAATAATCAATAAAGTCATTTGTTATTAGCCAGTCTGATTGATGTTTTGATGATGGTATCAGTGGTCAATGGAATTTCCACTACTAAATAGAATTTGTATATTGTTACATGGTTTAGTAAACATGCAGTCTAACGAGTGTGACACAAAAATGGACAGCTTGACTAAATGTAGGGGTATTTTCGCTTAACTTCTAAATGGCTGATGACTCAGCTGAACAACTTATTTTTATATTTAAAAATCTCGATTAAATACAAAAAGTGGCAATCCAACCAAAAAGTCTGTGACTAAGAACAGAGAGTTGTTTGTTCATCTGTTGGATCAAACCGTTTACTTTTAGAAATGGCTTGCTTACTTTCTTAGAGAGCTAACTTAACTATACTTGCATGTGACAGAATACTTTAGCACTATTCAGAATATTATAAAAACTAAAGACAGAACAAGATGATCACGGTAATCTTTAGTGTTCAACAAAAAGCTGTATATTCTTCTTAAAAAATTACAAAGATATGAAGTGTAGGGAAAATACTGATACAATATCAAATGAAATTGCTGGGTACACAAAATCCCAGTCTATGAGAAAACCACAAAATTTAAAGTGTAGAAAGTCACTTCAAGTTAACGAAATGGATTATCAAACTACCTAAACCTCCACATTCTACCCACTGATGTACGAAATATTTTCAATAACTTGAAAACATGTAGCAGTAACTACAAAATCCTTGTTAACTTGTTTCGTGAGTGGCTTTTTCAGTCAATGTATCATCAAACAAATTTGTATTGAGTCAAGTTGCTAAATCTGAGTGGCTTTTTGGTGGTATTAGAGTGGCCGGACTTAACAAGTAGTATTGTACAGACTTATCGAAAGACCGAAGTTTTGTTTGGAAACTTCGTTAAAGAATGAAGTATTCTCTATATAATCGTTTGAAAGGGTGCAACACATACAGTTATACACATATTGTAATAAAGTTGCCAATCTTACGTAAAGTACAGGATGTTTGTAGTAAAAGTAAACTTTATAAGGAGTTTACTGAACCTTGAAGAATTTCCTACCTTGAATCAAGTGGCGTAGATACAATTACTTTATATCCCAACTAAACAACTACCTTCTGTTCAGAATCAAGTACTTTGTCGGGCACTCAGTAAAATAACATCACATAAACAAAAATAACCTAACACAGGATGTCAACGAAACCATGAATAAAGTTTACGGTACTAGCTTATCAGCTATTTTAAAGCATTTTGATGGAACGTACGTTTTGGTGATTATTTCCCAAGCACTTAAAACTTTGTCAAAACAAGAAAGAACTAGGCAGACTTTTTTTTAAAATATGTAAAGAAAAATAGCGGACGACAAACTAAGCAAATGACACAATCTACTGATTTTACAAGAGTCAGTACGGTAGTTTCTAACCATTCGCATTTCGAAGACTTGTTGGGTCTATAAATTTTTTAAGCATATGAGAGAAGGCTAACAAAACTAATTCTCTGTATCCAATCTGATTAGTAACCAACTGCAATTGAGAGAGTGAATGACAGTTACACGGAACTATTCACAAAACCATGCTTTAAACGAGTATGAATGATTTTTAATTACAGTAATAGATTGCAATCATGAAACTCACATGTTTGGTGCATTTCGTGCCCCTTAAAAACTGACTACAGTACTTTGTAGTTCCGAGTGATACACGGATTGGTCTTCCATGTAAAGTGCTCTGATTAAGATCCCTTATAGACCGCATGGCATCCTCAGCCCGATAATATGTTATATAAGCACTAAAACTAGGTTGACCCTGAAAAGTTTGAGAGAGAGAGAGGCGATATAAGCAATTTGCAAAATACTCTTAGGACACAAGTTTGAACACAGTCACCATCATTCATTAAACATACCTGTGGTCCACCGAAAGTTTGGTTTTGATTAACTTCCACTTTAAAAATTTTCCCATAACGACCGAAATAATTCTGACCTTTAAGTATTTCCTTATCCTTTGAGATCCATGTAGGTAAACCGACCACAAATATCAGATTTGGCTGAACAACTCTAGCCAACAATATCATTCTTTGATAAGAATTACCTTAACTCTGGGAGGATTTTGAGCATTTCTGGATTAAGCTTTGTCTTCTTTATATAATCCTTGCGTCTTCTACTAGACCTACAACGAGATTCCCTAGGAAACGAGTAGATTCCAAATTCATCACTTACTCAGTCTCCGAAATAGGTTTGTAAGATGCCGGTTTTTCTGAATTATATTCCTAAACAATCCTATACAAGCTGCTGAGCCTTACCTTCCGACAAGCTGGACAAAGCCCATTTTCCTCGTTAATTATCTTAGCCCAGCAAAACCGGCATACCTAGTCTTTATGACGGGATAACTCATTTATTTACCTGGTACCGGCAATCACACGGGTAAAATGAGATGTCATCTGCCTCCATCGGTTCCATACATAAGGGACACTTAAGAAAGGTCAGTTAAACTAAACAAGTACCATCTCCTTCTCCTCCGTGCACATTAGGATTAAATTATAATCCCTACTCTGAAGATTAAAAATAGTGCCTTCAGAACTTTTCGTAAGAAGCGCTCCCTTTTAGAAGAATTTGATATGTAACCAATATCCAATCTAAATATTCTGGTGAATAAGTGATGTAGGTGCGATAACTTCCAGATTTAAATTAGTATCTACGGAAATTCTAAATGACTTTGTAGATGAATTTCACCATGAAGTTTTTTTGTCACAAGATTCATGAACTATATGGCTTTATGGTGTAGCGGTAAATAAATCCCCAAAATAAATAGCTCTGTAAGTTTTCGACATTAAATGCTGACTACATGTTTTAATGGACTCACCTAGCTGAAGGCGCTCGGTCATGCATCCGCACCAGATCACTAGTGGGAACGCCATGCTCAACAACTGCAATCGCTAGCCAGATTAGATCAGAGGATCCTCGATAAATTGATAGCTTATCAAATATATCTTCAAACCTCTTCACTTCTGTCTTTTGATTTCACTTGGGGGGTACGCTTCATATGGAAGGTGTTTCTGGTTAAAGTGTTGTCAAACTCCGAATACCTGTGGCATATTCAATGGAAAGTCTGTAGGACCAGAGCAATGTCACTGAGTCCTAGCCAAACCACTCATCAGCCAGATCATTGAATGTCCAACACTTTTTCTGTCTTCATCAAATTCAATGAGGACAAATAGGCACCAATTAACGACTTCCTATATACAGGCGGATGAAGTAGTTTTTCCTCCCTGTACTTCTGCTAACAGTTAATACTAATATGTGATGTCGCCTACTGAAACTTTTTGTTCCAATCAATCGCCTGGTTATCGTAACAGGATAATCAGGCTAAGTATTAACTGGGGGGGTGGCTATGACACTAGCTAAGAGGTCGTACCATTCCCGTCCAACTCGAGTAGACTGACATATTACATGTGCTGATGATTTACAAGTCAATTTTGCATAATAAACCTTCAGTGTGTAATCACGAACATAGTCCCAAGAAACACGACGTTTGGTAAAATGGGTTTTGTAGGTCGATAAAATAATGCTATGCTACTGACATATCCTGTGGACTCAAGTGATCACTCGCTACCACATAACTGAACAAAAATGATTACGGCTAAGATTAGTGTAGAAAACAACAGTTTAGCGGAAGACCAACTTGAGCATCAGTCGTAAACTAACAACCACTCTCACCACTAATCTTAAGAACTAAGACATAATATTACTTGTGGTCTATTTATCTGGTCATCAGATCAACTTAAATACACCATACTGGCTGTAGTTGACATTAAAAGATCAGTAACTTGTGTATTCACTTTACTGTACCAATATACTAACTGAATCAACGGACTACTAACGAGTTACTCTTTTTTCTGAAAATAGGAAAATGTTTGGTTCAAGTTAACGTTTGCAATGCTAAGCTATCTTGCTGTTTTGTCATCTAATTGTTGAATATTGGGCAAATCTTCGTAACGGTTGGATACACTTATCCGTGTAGAGTTGCATCACATCTCTTTTAATGAGGGAGTGCAGTATGTCGTATGTAGTAAGCAGTTCTGAAATGAGTATACCCTTTTAAAACGTGATTCAAACTCGGAAATCTCGAAGCATAGTGGTCATTGGGGGTGCTTGTTTTTTTATCAGAGCAAGACTTTGTTCATCCAAAATGTTCTTGGTTTTTTGTCACTTGTGAATAGGTTGACGTTAATAATGACATCGTGATCTAACCACGAAACAAATGAAATTTGAAAGTGTATAAATCTTCATCGAAACACATGAAATTCATGAAGTGTGACATTTTACATGGTAGAGGGCCTGTGAATTATGATCTAGGTCGGTGTTAAGAGCTTTTATCTTTGCTAATAAAGTGATAAACCCAGTCCTAAAATTTTAAATTTGCCATGACGCGATTACCTAATTTATAAGATCTTACGTGTTAGTTCTATCATTATATATACAGACTCATCCTGTCATAACAGTCAGCAATGTGGTGTTTACCACTTCTGAAGAACACAGTTGTACTGACGACAGAATAATATATTTAATGAGAAAAGAAGTAGGTCACATAGTGTGACCATAATTGCATAGCCGATCCATGCTATACCAGTTAGTTATTTTCGTGTTCACCATTTCTGATCTTTAATTGTTAAATTTTGGATGTGGATCTCCTTAGTTATCGTATGTTCGGCTTCAAGGATCGTAAGGTTCAGAATCAATAGAGCTACAGACTATCTGTATGAGAATGCGAAGCCTGGGTTCTTTTACCTGAAGACACGAATATGGCGGTAGTTGACTCAATATTTCGAGATACCAAGGTGCCAAGTGAAGGGAAGTGGAGTTTCATAGAGGTACAAAAATGAGGGACTCTACTTCCAGAAACTTTTTGAGGTTTCAATTCCAAAATCACAAGATTCCTCAACAAAATACCACGGAAAGACTACATATCAACTTAATAAAGGTAAAATAAATTAAAGTGCCTTCACTATTATTACAAAATCTACAGGTAGTCTACAACGAACAAATGAATCGCAACACCATGATTTTCAGGCAGCACTGAAATAAAGTCAAAAGGGGCAAATAGCAACGTAAACGGTACGTATTTTCTTCAATAACCAAAGTGAACTAGATGCGTAGCCGAAGTCGTTGCAATAAATAACTCCAGGGAATTAAGGCCTAAAAAAATTATAAATGTCTGAAGCACTTCAGGCCTTCTCTCCTTTCACTAATGAGCAATAGTCCACTCCAATCAATGTTGAATAATTGACATTGCATGAATTAACAATAGCTGCTGAAGGAACAAGTTCGGATATAACCGAGCGTTCAATGTCATTGCGATTAGTAACAAGGGTGGAACGCTGACAAAAATTAAAGAAAATTTTAAGAAGTTGGCTGAGGTTCATTTTAAAAACTATTAGGTATAAGTATACGGATAGATGAAAACATTTACTTTTGACAGTGAAAATTCGTTAAAATAATCCTACGGTTTGAGGGATTGAATGGATTCCTGGTGGTTGGGCCTTAGAAGCTATCCTCGCCAGGCATGCATGGGTAAGTGATACACTTCGAAATTTTTGAACACCAATTTTCATCATCTATGGGATAAAATTCATGGAATAGGGAAGCTGAAAGTCCTAGTGAAACCAACTGATATAACTCTGGAATATAGGTTGTCATGACTAGGTCCTAGTAATAGAGGGATTTCAGTTCTCTTGCTATGGGTGCATAAAAGGTAGGCTAATAACTGTTATGATGAATCACGCCGTACGACAGCGCATATCTAAATCTACGCATTTTGGGTCAAGCCAAGAATCTTATTTGTTTTACTTTGTAATCATGCAAGAAAACTAGGACATAACCCCACTCTAGCTAGTAGTGGTCACAATGTTTTTCTGTTCCAATTCAGAAGTCGTGGCATAGTCTATGGTTAGCCTTGTTTAAATATGTGGTGAGCAAACACATTGGATTTACATGAGTTTGTTACAGAAGCGAACTGGTCAATTGATATTAGTATGTTTTAGATCTAAAATTATCATTGCTTCCATTTCATCTTCTTGTATACCATGACAAAACGACACAAACCCTATATTTCTCCACCAAGGATAACAAAAATGGATCAATCAACTCCAACATACGAAAAGACTTTAACACGTGTTTATCTCTACAGGTTCTGTACTACTCAAATTATTCTAGTATGAGACTATAAACATGTAGAAATAGTTAGCAAATTCAGCTAGATTATTTTAAAGAAGGCAGTTAAACTGGGATTCTCGCTGCGGTTTAGAAACACTGTTCTCTAATATCAAGACACAAACACGGAGATAACGGAATTTAGTCCCTTACTTTTACTTTCTATTCAAAAAGATTTGAGAGGAGGAACAAGTGCCGATGGACTGGAAACAAGGACACCTCATCAAGATTCCAAAGAAAGATCTGAGCAAATATGAGAACTACAGAGGCATCACAATACTCTCAGTACCACGGAAAGTCTAACAGAGTACTGCTGAACCGGATGAAAAATGCAGTAGACGCCCTATTTCGAGATCAGCAGGCTGGATCCCGTAAGGATAGGTCGTGCACAGACCAAATTGTGACACTACGGATCATCGTCGGACAATCAGTTGAGTGGAACTCGTCACCATACATCAACTTCATTGATTATGAGAAGACGTTCGACAGTGTAGATAGGAAAACATTATGGAAACTTCTTCGACACTATGGAGTTCCTGAGAAGATTGTCAACATTATCCGGAACTCATACGACGGACTACAGTGCAAAGTAGTGCATGGAGGACAGCTGACAGACGCATTCCAAGTAAGGACCGGAGTCAGACAAGACTGTCAACTCTCCCATTTCCTCTTTCTTCTGATGGTCGACTGGATTATTAAGACTTGGATATCTGAGGGAAAACACGGCATACAATGGATAGCTCAAAACCAATTAGACGATTTGGACTACACAGATGACCTATCCCTCCTATCCCATACACACGAACAAACGCAGATAAAGACAGTCAGTGTAGCAGCAGTCTCTGCATCAGTAAACCACAACATACACAAGGGGTAAACCAAGGTCCTCAAATACAATACAATAAACCAATCCAATCACACATGATGGCGAAACTCTGGAAGATTTAGAATCCTCCGCATACCTGGGAAGCATCATCGATGAATAAGGAGGTTCAGATGCAGACGTAAAGGCGATGATTGGCAAAGATTTGTAAAAAAAGGAAAAGACTTTATCAGGCTTCCAAATAACCACACAAAAATAAAAAGATCGATGGCTGAGAGTAGATATCATGCAATGAACAGCCAGATCCATCGAATACAAACAACTTACGTATTTTATGATAATCATCTCTCAGTTGTCCCTAAAGAGCTCGATCTAAAACCAGAGAGCATGAAGACCAACTCAAAATATATTCAGATGGGCAAAGTCGAAAGCAACTCCTTAGTTAGCCTAAAATCAGCTCTTTAAAAATTCCACATCGGAGGTCAAAAACCTATGTAGGTTCCAACGATTTTTTGTTAAGAGTTACTCTCATCTGGAATGCCCTCCAAACCGAAGTGATCACAGACTCATCAGTGTATAGATTTCAGAGGAGACTTGGTAACTCATACTCACTGATGGACAAACCGTGCCTCATGCATCTCTCGCGTTTTATTTGTTATAAGCGCTACTAAGTTCTATCAATTTATTCCGATCTCACCTTTCTACCTCCCTTTAGTATTTGAGCCTTCGAAAATTTTTCTCTATTACTTTATGACCGACCATCCTCCTCAATGACACTTTCATGGCTACTGGTTACAGAAACCCTATTGCTCTGAGACAAACCCATCCACTCATATTACAGAATATACAAGACCACAAATAATGTAAGTTGCTGGAAACAGTACAGTTGGGTGGCTGGACCTTAAGGTATTTTACGTTACCAAAGAACTGGAATAGTGACCAAACATCATGGAACAAAATCAATTTACAAAAGCTTTAAGAACAGGAAGTACTTCCTTAACATGATTCGCATTTCTCAAAATTTTTATGTCCTAAAGTAACAAAAGTACCAATTTTGATAAAAAATTCTATCCTGAGTTCAACGTTCTCTCGATTATTTTGTTTTTGAGTTCCCTCCGAATTAATAGTCAACCGTTGTTTTACGATTTGGATTTTACAGCTTCTCAATTAAAATGGCTAGTTTGAATACAATTCGTGTTTCTTCAATCCATTTTTTATCCGGTTCATTCAATTTGTATCACAATTATAAACGTTTATCCCAATTTTTTCATAATTTCTACCTCACAATGTTCACCAAGAACAAGTGTAAACGAACCGGTTCCCGTTTCCAATCACCCCTGTTATGCAGTGTGAGATATGTGAAGGGTGGTTTCACGAAGTATACTCAGACCCTACAGGAACTACTTGCACAACTCCCTAATTCAAGTCGCGAGTGAAAACATGGCATATGGAATATGAATCCTGATAATAAAGTGAGCAATATCATCATTCTCCTGATACGTCTACGAAACGTATGTCGGAAAACCCGAAAACAGTCAGTCCCTAGACGGATCAACAAACAATGACAAATAGGGAGGTAAAGAGGAGGGTTTTTGACGACGTCACTATTGACGGACCTATTGCCGAAACAAGTAAAGATTTTCTTTAGCTCAGTAGTGCCTTAAGGGCAGCGGTGTTAGACTCTCTCAGTAGATTTGTATCCTTCGACACACTCATCTAATGCGACTGCGTTCGCGAAACTTCCAACTGTAGGCTATTGGTTGCACGTCAATAGAGCTAAAACAAATCGAAAATGATTATCGACAATCCTCCGTAGCCCATGTCTTGTAAGAAAATCAGTTAAATCACCAGCCGTGCAACCTACTCTAAAGCTTGTCCAACCAGTTTGACAAAACTACGGGAATACGGATCATATTCTGACTGCTAAGCAATAAAGACCCAAACTCGTCGTACTCAAAAACATGGGAAATCGGTCGTTAGTGACCGCTTTGGCTCTCCTCTAAGTCTGGAGTACAAAAACAACAGGACACTCAGAGATGAGTTAAACAAAAGTCTCACCTTTCCGAAGTTGAGCCACCAACGGTCCCACGGCTTACTCAGGAGGAAAGACGCCAAGTACTTAAATCACCCAACATCCTTCATGTAACTTTCACCAATATTGCTGACATGGAGGATATTCTGCTCTCTATTCACTTGGTGAAATCAGAAGGGTATGTGCTGCCTGATGTACCATATTTTGAGCGCAATCTCATCAGGAACTTCCCAGAAGACTCTGGCGATCTGTTTCTTCGCGGAATAAAATAGTGTGCAGGGCATCCCAGAAAACACAGACCCTGGTATTCCAGACTGTGTTATTGTAGAGTAAAAGTTCATAAATCGGTCCGTGAAGCTCAAGAATATATTAACCCAACAAGTGGCGCGATTATACAAGAAAAACGGAGACATTAGACCTTGGCCAGATAACCTTTCTCTTTTTTCAAACGGCGGCTAACATTCTTGGTGCATTTCATGTCACCAGGATAAGGATACTGACTGGAGCGCACATTTATCCAGTCAGACCACATAATGCTAGAGTCGAGTATAATACCAAGTCGGAACCGACTATTCCACATGTGAACTATCAAGAACAAGAGGAAATGAGTAGGTGACAGGGACCAAACACTTGGAAAATCCAGTGTAGGTGGGTTACCTGTTCACTGACATACGGCTCATCCAGACAAACAGGACGAGGGCACTCATGTATTCCTCATAGAAAGGGTCAACTACCTATGTATGAATTATGACAGTTTGCAGAGCAAAATGGATAAGTTGAGAGGACTAGGCAACGTTAATAATACTCAGTTGATAAGAGTATCTGAAACGTGGACGTCTGCTTAGGTTACGGATCACGAAATGGCAATATATGACATGTCTTTGTTCCTCGATTACAGAATAACTTTGACGAAATGAAGGCATTTTTTTGCTCGCGGTCCCGTTTGGTAGCACATTAAGTTTACGCGTGGGAAGCTATCAATCATGTTGGATCTGTATTGTACCCAGTGAGACTATCTAACACCTCAAGACATGTAGTTGTAGTTCTCAGTAGAAAGTTCACTGCTGACACGGAGTACGACAGTCGGATGCTGAGGAGATTATCCAGCTCTTTTCTTCTCAGATATAGTCATTTCCGGGTTTTAAGAAACTCCAATTTTCATAAAGTCAACTTCTCTGGATACACTTACAATGAAGACAATAAATTTGCTGACGCCAGATTCTTCAACTACACTGAAGATTCCGAATTAATTGGAAACACGAAAATGAAAACTCGGTGGAGAATCAGTCAGACTCCGTTGCGCCAAGAATACATCTTCACAAACTGAGTGTTGCTAATTGGTTACGCCTCAATCAATACCACCCTGGGGAAATGCTATCACTCACCATAGTCTTCAGCTTAATTTGCAAAACTGATCCAAAATATCCCGTTAACAGTAGGTTTTGGACTTTTAAACGGTTGAATGTGTCCGCTATAGGAGATAATCTACAGTGTATGGAGTGGGAAGACTATACTCAAATTGATGTGGACGCTCACTGGGATATATTACTTCACATGAATCCTAAAGGCTGTAAACCAATCTGTTCAGTAAATTGTCCGCAAAAGTTACAGCAAACCTACAGTCACGGGGAGTCGCATACTTCAAACGTTTCAACTTAAAAAGTACTAGAGTGTGGAATATAGACAAACTAGTTATGACAACACATATCGTTAGTTAAAGGAACCAATGAACCCATACACCAAGGCTCAACAAAGGATAGAATTCAGTATCAGATTAAGCTAGTCGATGATTTTGTTTCCAATTGTAAAGCTTAATCATTCAGCCCTTTTTCGACAAGCCCAAACCAGAGATTCAATTTGTTAGGTCCTAATTGCCTAAACAAAAACGACGGTGGTGCTGCCGATGCACTGGTAGAGCAGTATTTTCAAACATTTTAACTGTCACATACAAACTAAATTGACGAGAGCTTCACTTGCAATTCAACAGGACTTCCAGAGGTGAGCATGAAAAATAACTTTGTGTATCAGAAATTGCAGTATATGAACAAGGTCATTTCTCGTGGCTCGAATGTGGTTCACTGTGCCATACAGAGAAGCGAATTAAATCTTGGCAATATCGCTTAATGTTTTCAAATTCTCTAAACCAAATTATGCTCCCAGACAATTTTCAATGAGGTTGACGTAATGGACCTTCAAGTCACATGCTGGTAATACATTTTGTAATGGAGTCGAATGTTGTGGAAACTTCAGTGGATGGTAATATGTGCGATTAATTGCTATCTATAAACTTCTTTTGATCCCGAAATACTTTCTGAGAGGACAGCACCTGCATAGCCACCAGAATGACTGCGGTGGGTAGATGTACATTTATTCCTGATCTCAAGAGATAGGAAAATGTCATATACCTTGATCTCTTTAAAGCTTTTGATAATGTTAACTATAAGTGCTTCATTAGGTATTAGGTCATAATAATAAACCGATTAACTTCATACATGAGCAATCAACATTTTAAAATAAGAGTTGACTTCACATTTTTCAGGTTACAGAATATATTTGTCGGGTCCCCTGTGGCTAAGAACCAAATTCTATTCTCTTTCTAATTTATATAAACGACTTCCCTCACCAAGTGTCATCTGATTAACTACTTTTCGCTGATGACGTGAAACTTTGTGGTAGAATTTTATGACCAAGATGATATGTTGACACTCCAGGATGATCTGACTCGACTTGAAAGTTGGGTGGATAACATCGGACTTACCTTCAATACTTCAAGCAGTCCATCTGAGTCATGCTTTAGGCTAAGCGCACAACTTACGTAATTCCCCTCTAGAATTGTACCAAGTTGAACTGGATCAAGAATTCTTGATATCCTGCGATCAGGTCTGTAACAACTACAGTATAGGTATCTGAGAGGTGGGCTTTTAATAGCTAAGAGCACCCTGAGCACTGTTTGGCAGTTCCTTAAACAGTTACTAAAGCTAAGTGCCAACAGATACATTTGGAGCAATACATAGAAATTAGTGGCACGAAATAGCAGAATGGTCCATAATCGCACCTTCTACTCATTACGATAAGTTGAATTTTAAAATTCTTTGTCTCATGAAGTGGTTTAAGCGACATCTCATGAGTCTTTCAAGAGGAAACTTGATATATAATCAAGGACTCAGGAAGGTATTTGTTAATAATATACTGATATTTGCTTGAAGATATCGGTATTCCACTTCTAAATGATACAGAAGGCGGTTAAACGGAGGATTTTTCTTTTCACTTAACAACTAATTCAATCATTTGAACCATTTGAGCTCGTAAATATTGGACATTGCGTCACGAATTCAAATACGCGGTCTGATTCCCCAAGCATCGGTTGCACCAAGCATGTTTCAGGTTACGCGTAGGTCTTTAAGTCTCAGTCGCGAGTTAACATTGTGGAATGCATTTCGACAATTTTCGTCCACACCTGTTGCTTCTGCTGTAAGACGAGATTTATAATAATTCCCTTTACATTCAGAGTTTGAAAGATATAATGGCTGACCTAGTACCTAAAGAACAAGCAAAAGTAGCATCTTTTAGAAAGGAATACGGTTCCACAAAAGTCGGTGACGTTACTGTCGATATGGTTGGTTGTGACCTCTTCTAAATTGTACATGTATAGATGTATGGCGGTATGCGGGGTATCAAAGGTTTAGTCACCGAAACATCTGTACTGGATGTTAATGAGGGGATTCGATTTCGTGGTCTTTCAATTCCAGACTGTCAGAAACAGCTTCCAAAAGCTCCTGGTGGACATGAGCCACTTCCAGAAGGCATCTTCTTTCTCCTACTGACAGGAAAAGTTCCAACCAAAGCACAAGTGGATGATATTTCAAAAGAATTCGCAAACCGAGCTGACCTCCCATCTCATGTTCTAAACATGCTAGATAATTTTCCATCATCTCTTCATCCTATGAGTCAACTGGTAGCAGCTTGTGCCGCTCTAAATTCAGAATCAAAGTTTGCACGAGCCTATTCACAAGGTATCAAGAAAAGTTTGTATTGGGAGGTGAGCATTTTTTAATGACTTATACATTCCTTGTAATTTTCGAAGTTGTTGATTTAAAGTAGACGAATGGAGATAGCTTCTTGTCATAATCTGATGTACATTCAGAGTCATTAACATGGGCTACTCATAACTTACAAAATTGTCATGCATTATTTAAGAAAAGGTAGGGGTTCTTTCTAAGGTTCTAGAGATCTTGCACTTACTTCATGCATGTTTTTTCGAGTTACCGATCATCCCATAGTTCTGTGTTAAGAAGGGTTTTGTATTTGGCAATCTGAGCTGTTACACTTGTCAGGTCCTACGTTAATTGACTGACTGCTTATAGGTAATTTGTTTTTATGAATGTGACTAAGTATATGTTCACATACCAAGCTCTAAACCATGGTGCAAAAATGACATAGTTGTTAAATGTTGGGTGATTTAACTATAATATCGCATTTTCGAGCTGATGTTGTCATTTTTGAATTTCCTGAGGTTGATGCGCAATCGGCCGGAATTTCTAGCCTGTTATAATGATGAGTTTATGTTGTATTGTAAGCCAGGAAAATTTTATTGTGACTGGTCAGTTCCATATCATGACCTTTCTTTGTTGCCCCTCATTTGTGATAATCCACATTCTCGTGCTTCCTACTTGTGACCTGGTACGAAGGTGTTCTAGAGTCCAGATGATCATTCCTCATCGTGTATTGGGTCTGTTTCAATAAATGGTACTCGTGACTTCACACGTCAATATAAAAATGTGCAGTCATATAAAACATCTAGATGTAGCATTGTTTAGTGCGACGACTGCTCATTACATCAGATAACGATATAGCTATCTACTACTAATCACTCATATTGTTTGTTGGTTGTCTTAATAGTACGTTTACGAAGATTCTATGGATTTGATTGCCAAGCTTCCAACTGTGGCTTCTATAATTTACCGTAATTTGTACCGGGATGGTACTTCTGTAACTGCTATCGACTCTAATACGGACTGGTCCCATAACTTTTGTCGTATGCTTGGTTATGAGGATCCTGGATTTACTGAAATGATGCGTCTTTACCTAACCTTCCACTGTGATCATGAGGTAAGCCATGTTTCGGGTGTTTTTTGATTGATTTTCTATTACTTAGCGTTTCTGATGACCGATGCTGTTAACAGGTCATGGGCTTATTTGATGTAACCCGTTTTCCAACTACCGAACTGTACACTTAAAGCTGTCAGATGTTTTACTATGGACTAGCTCATGTCTCACATAAAACTCATCCATAGTTTGAAATTTTGTGTCAGGTAAACTGTCTTGAGGAGAAATCGTCTAAAAGTTCCAGGCCCTGATAAAAGTCAGCTGATCTCTGTATATAAATTTTTCGAACGGTATGCTATTTTTATTTATCACTGGCGTTAGCATAGCTAAGATATATACAATGAATATTTTATATTCCCAAAGTAAGCAGTGCTGCCGCTACTCAAAACAGCATTTGTTATTCCAGAAACCTATGTGAGAATGTGTGGTCATACACGCCACCGGTTATTTGATTCTCCCAACTAATGTTTATTATGATCTTCAGGAAGCTTTTCCTTAAAAACTTTCGTTTGCTACTTTTATTTCATTGGTCATCATCAAGGTATGTGTTTCGTTGTTATTTTTTCACTTTCCCATATTTATTTACTTGCGAATTAAAGAAATTTTGAAAGTTCGTGTAAACGTTCTTAGACGATACAATGCACTAAAGCTGTGCAGACGTGTTTACTTATTTGTATACATAAGCATATGATAAAGTGGATATTGCATTGCTTAAAAAGTCATTCAACATATATCGAAAATCCTCACAAATAGTGTACTAGTTTTATCAGTTGTATTTACCATTTCTCAGTCTAATAATAAGTATCAAACGGATTCGCCGTTTTACTTGATTCTCCTATGATATTTCGCTTTAAATAATGCTTTGATAATAGATGTCCATGGAATTAATTTATCTTCTTAGTCTTGATTCTAAGCTAAAAGATGCATTTTTAAAAAAGTCATCGTAACTTATCTAATTCCTCGCATATATTGTTAAAAACGGTAAATTTAGGTCATTTAGTGAGTAGATGTTTTGCATTCTTTGTTTGCCACAAACTTATATTTTTTGTACTTTTTCAAGACAGAACCTGTTAAGATCATGTTTTTAAATCACACTGAACTATACCTAACGTTGTCGGATCTAGATCAAACTGCATTAATTAGTAATATAGTAAATTACTGTATTCCTGCTCCTTCCCAGTACCACTAAAAAAGATTTTATTTTGCAACTTCATTATTAGGGCGGTAATGTTAGCGCACATTCCTGTCACTTGGTGGGTAGTGCACTTTCCGATCCATACCTTAGTTTTGCCGCATCTATGTGTGGCTTGGCTGGACCTTTGCATGGATTGGCCAACCAAGAAGTATTAGTCTTCCTGAATAAAATGCAAGAGAAAGTCGGCAAAAATCCAACAGACGAACAAGTTAAACAGTATGTAATGGATACGCTTAGTGCCGGACAGGTTAGTTCTATCACTTTTATTAGTCCCCCTTTTGGTTTATCCGTATAACAGATTAACAGTTAAAAAATTCCTATATTTCAAATGCTCGGTTGATTCATTTTCCTATATGTATTTATCTTTGTCCCCTTTTCATGTGTTTTAACGTAATTTCCACTTAGATCATCACAAGTGTACTGCCCATTTTAAATTGTAGTACTATGTACTGATTTTTGTGTCTAATAAAAGTAACCCGTACCGATTTCTTAACATTTATACTTGAAGTGCTTGGGAAAATTTTTACAGTGGTGATAACTCGGAAGATTTCTGATAGCTAATTGGTCTACATATGCTCGTTAAGCTGTCATATTTATACCTCAGAAGATGCGAGGGTTTTAGTTTACAAAGCTATTTCCGGATTGAGGTAGTATGAACAGTGAGAAAGTCGATATGAAATGTGATAGTATTCCACAAACTGGAATCTTTATAAGTAAGAAAGTGAGGTCTTAGGAAGTGTGGAAAAGTTTATTGGGAACAAAAATAGTCAATTGGTTTCTGAAAAACTGTCATTGTATATTCAGGTACTTGTGGGAAATGATATTTCTTTACTGTTTACATTGTTAGGAATTATGTTTATCTTGAGGAACTTTATAGCAGTAGACTAGGATTAATGGTCCGATCGATGCGAGATTTATGGAACCTGATAATTTTGGCTTTTGTATAAAAGTGTAATTCACATCAAATTCACAGTAAATTGCATCTTTTACGTAACATGAGAGTCTAGATTTACTTGATTGGTAGGTAAATACTATTGAGCGTATTCCAGAAAATAACGCATAAATTAGCATTCATCTAGTATCAGTTACTCTTTAAAATTGTCGTTAAGTTCGTTTCATGGCTGTATTTGTAATTGAATATCAGGGTAATACTGGTACATTCTTGAGATTTAGACGTTTAATTTTAATCAATCTACATTAAATGCTAGTAATTTAGCTACCTGAAGGTATATATATCGTGATGATTCCGATAGTTACAGTGATTTAAATTAATAAACAAAGCCATGCTCGTACGTTTGTGTTTTTTTTGCGGCTTAAACATGTACTTCTGTTGTATATAGCATTTGACTTTTACATTCATTAGATTTTTTCTACTTAGTGATCTTGTCACGTCTGTTCTTTCAGGTCATTCCCGGCTATGGTCATGCTGTTCTTAGAAGAACGGACCCCAGATTTACTTGTGCACAAGAATTTTGTGAAAGGCATTTTCCAAATGATCCTCTGTACAAACTAGTTGCTCAATTGTATAAAGTTGTTCCTCCAATCTTGACAAGTCTTGGCAAAGTTCAAAATCCATGGCCTAACGTGGATGCACATAGTGGTGTTTTGCTCCAGGTGAGGTCAATTTCTATTTTTGTATTGAACATGTAAATTTCAAAATTCGTCCTTTTTTGTCACCGATTAGGTTGAGTTTCACTTTATTTTTCCAATTGTTTCATTTATCTGGTGATTCATATCCTCTAGTTTATTTTTTACCATGATGAAGTATGGAATTAATAAGACTGAGAATTTCAAAAACGAAATTCATATCAAACCACTCTAGTTACTGATTTCTTGAGTTATATTCAGAGAAGTACTGAAAAAGAAGTGTTGCGACTGGTATTATCTCCAAAACAATCGTAATCTAATCCATTTTTATGAAAAAATTGCAGCTCTTCATATTCCTTAAAATAGTGGACAGTATGTTAGATGGTTGCTCTAAAGTCTTGTCGTTGGCCATGTTTATTTAAGGTTGTAGGTAGGTAGGTGCCAATCTTCACCATAAAATTATGAATTATAACTTTTTTATTCTCCAAAAGTTAGATCTGATGTAAAGACCAACGTACTGTACTATTATTAATGTATCCTATTAATGTGTGAGACGATCTTGAGTAAGCTTTTATATCAGTGCAGTCTGTAAAGAAGCTGATGGGATTTATACCACTTTAATTTACATAGTTCTTGCATATATAACGAACGTGTCGTAAAAATAGCATTATTAATCTTAAATTGATAATGTTATATATCACTCTAACGAATTATTGTTAGATTAATAATTAAGTCTCGCAATTTCTCTAAAGCGACGAAGTATTTAGTCTTGGATTGGGTTAACATGTTCAGTCGTACAATACTTTATTGAATAGTATATTTCACATTTGCTCAACTGTTACGCCCGTGTAAATTACGTTTATAAATTTGCGTTTTAGTCTTCTCATCTTCTATATTGACTTGAATGATCTTAGAACATCGGTAATCACAGGTATCTGGTTAACCACGATGTTGAAAATCATTTGGAAATTTTTTAATTTACTCCTATATTAGATCAGTTTCGTAAGCATTTACTGATAGAATACAATGGATCACTGTGTAACACCTATCCTTATACACAATCTTCCTTTTATATATTACTATCATTGAAGTAACTACTTCAATTAATTTGGTGTTCATCTTGTTGTGCTAATGAGGTATGGCAACTTGGACCGATGCATATATGTGCCGGGTTCTACGTTGTAGCTGACTGATTGACCTATCGATTAACATTCTCTCGATAATTTTAACAACTAAAATATATTCACAACGACATTATAAGACCTACTCATCCGTTAGAGCTACTCAAGGTGATAAAGCCTAGTTTGTAGTTTGGTTTATGTTCGTTAACTAATTGAATTCGAGATTTTTCCGGTTTTTTCAAATTGCAATATAATTTTCATAGTAAAGAGTTTTTTTCGTGAATACTTCAGAATTACTCATAATTATTGTGATTGTTTTTCAATTCTATTTTAGCATTATGGTCTTACTGAAATGCAGTATTATACAGTTCTATTTGGAGTTTCTCGAGCATTAGGTGTTTTAGCCTCGTTAATTTGGGATAGAGCATTAGGCTTGCCAATTGAACGACCCAAATCTTTATCTACTGAAGCATTAATGAAATTGGTGAATGATATTGGACGTAAACAAGGTTAAATATAGTTTATTCAATTCGGATCCATATCTATTCTTATTGGACATTTTCAGTAAGGTTATTTCTCCACTTTCTAATATTTTCCACTTCAAACTTAAGAACAAATCATCTTAATAGTTAGTCAAAACTACTTTTTTTTGTTTTATTCTCCATCTATATCTTACTGCATAACACAATACATATGGTTAATTCTTTTAAGTAGAAAAGAACATTTTAACAACTCATTTAATTGTTTATGTTTTGTTTGTTTTATGTAATTGTAGAATTTACCTTTTAACCAGTTTTAGTATTCTTAAAAGTGATGTATATCCATACAGGAAATATATATTCATCTAATGAAAATATCTCTTTTGCTCTTCCTTGTTGCATTATTTTCCCATTGTTTTTCAAAAAATCATATTCATGTGTCTAAGTATAGTTGTTTGTTTGTGTGTGTGTGTGTGTAACTGTGGAGGTGATTTTCTTAAAGGAAAAATTCATCATGTAATTCACTACGAATCCCCAAACGCCCTGGTATGGCCGAGAGCAGGGTGAGTTCGCCCTCCCTCTCGAAATACTCTCACACGGCCGCGCGTATACAGCCTCTGCCAGGGAAGTCCTACTCACTGCCTTCTCGTTGCGGGGGTGTTGTTTACGAAAATGAGAGGACGAAAAGCGAATGTCCGGCGCTTTAACCGGATTCCAAATCTATGGTGCACATGGGCACCAGTATCCTGAAGGAACAAATGGCGTATGAACCAATTTTCGGTCACCGGCTGCCATGGGACTGCATCTCCTTACGATGCTCCACTGCCTTGTGGGTTAGACCTTTAGGTCGAAGGCTCGGGGTGTGGCCCCCTAAGATAACCACCTGCTTCGGTCTGGGCACCCGGGCAATATCGCAGCCCACACGCAATTAATGAACTGAAATTGTGTGGCGCATATATATTTGGCGCACTCCTGTACCAATATATATGTGTTCAAATAAAATAAAATAAATAATACTACGAATCCTTCCCTTTGGATTTTAAACTCAATGCAAGTGTAGACTGATATGAGTTGTAAGCCTACAATTCAATAATTGAAAAATAAAGTATTTAATCATAATTAAATTTTCAATGGAAAATTGTGAATTCGTTCAAATTGTATGATTTGAACAACTAGATTTCTTTTAATCCATACAACATTGTACTTCTAAGTTATTAGTATAAATGTTTGATATTGACGTATTACAATATTAAGTATTTATTATTATTATTTTATCTTAAGAAACTAAATATCACATTTTACTTAATGGTTTTCTGTTACTGGATATAAGATTCATGTGCTTTCTGTCACTAGAAATATAAAACAGATGGAACAATGAATTGAGGAACAAAATGACTGAGTATTGATTCTCATCATAATCATCTGTTAAAGACTTAAACATTTAATTCATATTTAAGCAATTGTGAAAACCTGTAGATATTGGTAGCACCCTTGTTCTGACTATTGAGTATTCAGAGTTTCATTCTTACCGGTGCTCAGAAACACAGATTAAGCGGAAATGCGAAGTAAACCTTTGTAGAAAATGTCATTAGCAGTAGTCGGAAAAAGTAGTGTTAAAGACATTGGGATAACGTGGCTTTATACATACATACATTATTTAAACACAAACATTGGTAGAAAGAGTCACTAAATACATGTACGTCACACAATGAAAATGAAGCCAATAGTAGTTATCATTGATTTGCCTGAGGGCTGTGATACTACTCGGGTGCCCAACCCGAAGCAGGTGGTTTTCTTAGGCAGCCACTCCCCGAACTTTCAAGCTAAAAGTCTGATCCACAAGCAGTGGAGCAACATAAGGAGGTGCAGTCCCGTGGTAGCCGGTGCCCAGTAGTTGGTTCATATGCCATTTGTTCCCGCAGGATCCTGCAGCCCATGTGCACCATTGGTTTAGAGAATCAGGGATCTCCATCTTTACGTGGATCCTCCGTGTCCACCAACCAGCTTAAAGCACCGGCCATTCGCTTCTTGTCCTCAATTTCGTAAACGGCAATAATGCCACGAGAAGGCAGTGAGTAACACTTCTCTAGCAGTGGCTGTATATGCGTAGTCATGTAAGAGTATTTGGAGAGGAAGACCGGACTATCTCCACTCTCGGCCGTACCAGGACATTTGGAACATATCGAAGCATTCAGACAAGTTAAAGACTTAGTTTGAAACTGATTACTGAAGAATTGAATAAATTTTTAGCTAAACTTTAATCCTTCACCATTGAGTTTTCGCCTGAATGAGACATTAGATTGAGGTATCTTACTCAATGGAATTCGATTTTATGTGTTATGTCACGGACCTAAGTTATCCAACGTTTATTCTTGTAGGTAGTGTCCAATCCAGTGGTTTTCTGCAGTTTAGGGCATATGTTTCTAATAAATCTTATTCTAGGTAACAGCTATTGAAGCTGTTGCTAGCGAGTGGTACAGGAGTAGGTTGGGAGAAAGCTAGGGGCGGCCAGACCAAAACATGCCACAAGTCCATGAAGTCACTGACAAGTGGAGTAGGTCACATTGGTAGGTGTAGACTATCTGATTGGGGACCGCGAGATGATAGCAACCGATGGTTAGAGACCTTGAATGACATGCCTGAAAATCGTTTGCAATGACGCAGGTGCATACACTCTTTGTGTTCTCCCAAATTCTAATCTCCTGATTCCTCCTTGTCTCTTTTTTTTCTTCCCAAATTTATCTCACTGTATTATACTCTTTAAATAACATCTCCAAACCCTAGTCTTTCCGATTACTGCTTATACACTTACTACCTCTACCACTACGGGATTTGAATTGACAACTGCATCTCTGTGCTAATGTGGTATTGCAACTCGAACTGATGTACGTACGTACGAAGTTCTACGTTGTTACTGACTGACTGACTGTTGCTAGCGTTATATATTCATCTTTTTCTAATTGGTTTACAGCTCACCTTCAACTTTACAGTGATCATTCACTTTAATGATAATTATATGATCATTTTAGTATGTTAAACTCGTACCGTTAATCGGCTATGGTAAAATCGTTTTCTGGATTAAAAGGTTTTTTGTGTAGGAATGTTCAAATTGTACTACCATCTGTCAAATCTGAGATCTGTATTTAACGACGCTTAGTTGAAAAAATTGACCAGATCTCTTACCCACCAGTACACACCAAGTATCTTTTATGAGTGATGTTTTTCTCTTTATCATGTGATATTTTAGCTGAATTTATTTTGCTTTTGAGCTTATAATCTTTCTATAAAATCTTGTGAATTTTATGACCCCATGGTTTGCCCAGGCTTAGTTTTCTCTGCCTAACCACACGTATAGATTTTTCTTGTTTCAGTTTGTTAGAAAATTTTAAATCTATGGATGACTGAATATTTAATGCATAATCTCATAAAGATTAAAATGATAGTGTTTTGCTTAGAGTATAGAATACTGTTGTGAGTTGAATTAAAATCACTTACTTATGGTGTATTTTATTTCTCAGTGAAAGATAATACTTCAATTAGTAATCTCCAGTTGATCAGATGAAAAATATATTTAGGGAGAGAGAGAGATATATAAGAAGTAAAGAAACCTGTATAGTATACTTTATGTTATAAATTCTATTTGTTACCGACAGAGAATGAATTCGATTCCGTTCTTTTTGATTTTTAAACTCACATACCTCATCGAAAGGTTGTTTTTAGCAAGTTTACTTATAGAGTATGAATTATCTTTTTACTACAACGAGGAAATCGTCTTAGAGTAACTTCTAACAGTTACTCTTGATTAACTATTAACATTACATATTAATAAATTAGCTGATGTGAGTAGCTTTAGAAGCATCGGCGTTCTGCTAAACAAGTGATCGACAGTTTTTATGTTCCTCTTGGATGTCTTCTTGTTGACTTCTTAAACAAATAATCTGTAAGTGCTAACTGAAACATGTATACATTCGTAGAGCACTTATGCTAAAATATTTATAAGTGACCGTATTATTAATTACCTTCATTATATTTCGTCAGAATTAGGTTGAGACAGACTTTCGAATGTTTATTGAGCTAATTATTTTTCAGTTTGTGACTGACGATTTCTAACTTTTCTATAGAGGTGATATTGGAAATTCCATGCAACTGGTTTCCTTGGTAAAATTTTGTAAAGCAATAATACTGAACATTGTGGAATGAAGTAAACTCACTTCATTTCATGTGCTGTAATTCATCCACATACGCGGTGATTTGTATGAATAAATAGAAAGTTTTACAATTGTAATGTTATATGTAATATGAAATATTCAGGCATGTTCGTTAAGTGATGGATGTTTTAAGCATAAGCGAGAGAGTGAGAGAGAAAGTGGGATGGTGACATAACCGAGTTTAAGAAATGTGGATGACTTCGAGCACATTAAATAAAATCAATTTCCTTCCACAATGTTTGTTTTTTTTTTTGTTTGGAACCTATTGACTTTTCGTTTTTATTTTACGAGGAGAGTACATCTAAAGTCACATATAGATTTCATTGAATCTGATTAAATAATATTTGGTTAAAACAATATTGATACCGTTGTGATTATAATAATTTGCGTTTTGTAGTGCGTTCCTCAGTGGAAAACTAACATTTTCCCGGAATGAATGACATACCAACGTTAGTTACATGAAATCTTATCATCCATTTTAACCTAACTATATGGTGTTCAGATATAGTTCACAAATGTATATTTAAACTAAGTCATACGAACTACTTTTGTTTTACAATATCAATCATTTTTTATGTACTAGTTTGTACATTATCATATTTCCGTTTCTACCAGTGACCATATCTGATGTAATTTATGTTCTTAGTGCTAAGCTATTTTAATTAAATAAACATGATTTTTAAACAAAGTGTGGTTCGATCGATTTTAACTTGACCTTTTTTTTCGGTTTGCCATTTTTTGGACAGTACAAAAATATTGCAACTTTTAAAAGGAATCGGATGTATCCGTCAATTTGTAGCTCATATGTTTTTCAATGTTTAATGTATATGTGGTAGGATATATTTTCGGACATTTTTCTGTATAGTTAGCGAGTGAGAATGCTGCCTATAAAAGTGTAATATTCACTGACGATTTTATTCCAAGCTCTAAATTTCACTTTTTCATCAGATGAATGGGTATACGTACCAGTTATGTTCATAGAAAACGTATGTGTATTGCCTAAGTTGATTGCACCATAATTCCCAGTGGAAATTATTCTCTAATGTGCAACACTCACTAAATAAACAGAAAAATCAGAAGGGGTTTTTATAGATATTATAGTAATTTGAATAGTTGAGATCATGAGTCAATTCAAGCTAGACCACGATGGAAAAAATGGAATC